GCGCCAAACCATTCTGAAAGGCTAGCCAAGACCGCATTCTTGGCCACCATTGAGCTGCAGTTGGCGGAGAAGAGAAGTGGGTCAGCCTCGCGGTCATACTCGGCCAGCTTGGCCAGGTCGGTCGCTGGGAGGGCCTTCTCCGCCATGGCGAGCTGTTCACGGATCTCGCCAATCTGCTTGCGGAGGACGACGTTGCTCTGCTCCAAATCAGACTGGCGACGCTTGAGCTGGTGAATCTCGTTCGACTGGTGGGCCACATTCTTGAGCACGGGGTCGATATAGCCAGCCATGGCGCCCACCAATTCCTTGTGGGCGGTGGCCAGAGACTGCGTGCAGATGCTGTTGAGCTGGGTGACCGTGGAGTCCATGCGGGCCTGGACCAGCTCCAAGAGACTGTCCTGGATAGAGCTTGGCGACCCGCTTGCTCCAGCAGCAGGCGCACAGGGCGTGTCGGTCCCGCCGACTGGTGTGGCTGTGTCCTCCTGCGTCTCCAGCACCTGGAAGTCGCGCTCGATGTCACGCAGCTCTTGGGTGGAGAACTGTGGCCCCGTTGCCGCTGCGCCCCTCCAGGGATCGCATGTCTGGAGGGCATCTGGGGCAGGAGGGGCCGCAGCCGCCGCGCCGGCTGGCGCCGAGGCGCTAGAGCTGCTGCTCGCTCCAGCCCACTGCGGCGGGGCTGCCAGGCTGCCAGGTCCGTCGCCGCGTCGCAGGCGATCACGTTCACTACGTTCACGATGGGCGGGGGCGCGCGTGGATGGCGGAGCAGGGCGGTCGGCAGGGCCTCTGCCGATGTCAGCCCAGGCCTTGCGTCGAGCGCGACGGCGCGGGCGGTCCTCGCCCCCGCTGCGGCTGTGCTCGTCACGGCCCCCACGATCATCAGGAGAGCTGCCAGAGCCATCCGAGGCCATGCGAAAAAACAAAGTCGTGACTGAGGAGAAAGATTCGTGTTGGCGATGGTGTGGGGCACTCGCCCAGAAGGGGGAGCTCCAGCAGCCAGTGGTGTCGGGCCGCTGCTGGGAGCCCCCCGAAGCTGACCTGGCCAGCTGCCTCGGGACATGGATTACTTGAGCCAAAATGGCTACGGAGGAGTAGGAGGAGGAGGAGGAGGAGGAGGAGGAGGAGGAGGAGGAGGAGGAGGAGGAATAGGACCAATGTAAACCCAAGACCCGACACCAATGTTGCAATTCATCCTCCCTCCAGGTTCCCTCTTCATAGGTCCCTATAAGGATGTATTTTCACTGCGGGAAGTGCCCCGTTCCCAAACACCATTGCTGGGACTTCAACGCCGCGAATCAAATTTACTGTTGCGTCCTGACGATCCTGAATCGGGCCAAACATTCCCTGGAATCCGACTCCGCGTGTCAACGTGACTGTTGCGCCCTGACGATCCGACATCGTTCCAAAACACAATTTCTGAGACACCAACCATAACCATCTTTTGAACCGGTGTAAACTCTTAAAACGAATGCGCGCAACGCTAAAACGATAACCGCGGTTTGCAAGGGAACCATCCTGCATCTGTGAAGCCCTTGCAAGCTTGTAAGACGAATGTGCGTGGCGCTAGAAAGCGATAGCCAAATTTTGCAAGGGAGCCACCCTGCATCCGCGAAACCCTTGCAAGCTTTTAACACGAATATGTGCGGCGCTAAAGCTAGAACCACATTTGAAAAAGGAAGCGCTCTCCATCCGTGCAACTTCTGCAAACTTTTAAAAAGAATGCGCGCGGCGCTAAAGCAAGAACCACATTTTGAAAATTACCCGCCTTCCATCCGTGTCGAGCTTCAGCAACTTTTTAAAACAAAAAACGGATCTGCGCGGCGCAAAGGCGAGCGCCACATTTTGAACACCGCCTGCCCGCAATGCTTGAAACCTCCGCAAATTTCAAGCTGCACGATCATAAGCGGTGAAGAAATCTCCGGCGAAACGCCCGAACCGATCTACCAACACGTCTCGGGCTGCGACAGGGAGGAGTTATCTATCAGGGAAAAAATGAAGGACATATGGGAAAACGAGGACGAGGACGAGGAGGAGGGGGAGGCGAGGAGGAGGGGACAGGGGGAGGGCCTTCACAATCCCAAGAACGGCGATGGCGACTACTCTCGAGCAAACTAAAAAGAATCAGATGTGGGATCCTACCGTCGAAATCGCTGCAATTGAACTGTCGTCGTTTCTCGCACGGTTTTGCTTGCCAGGCGGAAACTTGATGCTCTATCTGGGCACCTCGGCCCCACGACTACAACAACATCGGCCTCCGCCTAGTACGTCTTATTCGCGAACCGTGTCCTCGCTCGAGACTTCCTTGCGATCACGACTCGCGCTCTCGCGAAGGATTGCATCACAAACTGCGCAAAGATCGCGCTCCCGCTGCTCAAGAACCGTGCTCCCACCGAGGACTTCCTTACAAATTGCAGCCGGGTTTTCGCCCAATACCTCTCCGAGATATATAAAACAGACTCGCTTTGGTGTCCCCCCCATCCGACCCCCAAATTCCGCACGCCTGACCAGCCCGTTGAAGACCACCCGCCCGACCCGGCCGTTGGGGTCCGCCTGCCCGCCTGCCCGACCCGCTCAACAGGGTCCGCTCGCGGGACCCGCTTGTGACGGTCAGCTGGGTCGGTGGCTTGACGGCCATGGGCCGCCCGTTTTGCTGTCCCGCCCGCCCGCCCCACCCGCTCGTCGGGGTCCGCCCACTTGATCAAATTGTCTTACCCTGCCAGGATTTGCCCAAGAACTTGCATGGCAGAAGAACTCTCCTTAAATGGGGGTGCGTTCATAAACGAAGAGGGCGGGACCCGAGGGTTTAGGGTGTATATGTTGAGTGGCACGCGAGCAGCGAAGAACGAACAATCTTAAACTTATTGTTTTGGTTGAGTTCTAATTTCCGAAGAATGCGCCACCGTGCCGCTTGCACTGGGGCCCTCAATGGTCCCTTAAGGGGCCCAAGTCCAGAATTCCTGGTTTCCTTTGGTGTATGGTAAAACCTCCCGGAGCACTTCGCATTATTTTCCCACATGCGCAGGTCGCGTATTTCGTGACACACATGTTCAATATTCCCTAAATTGTCCAAGGGGCCGTCGTGGAACCCTCTTGGGCTCCTCTATGGCAGTCTTCGCAAGAGGCACAAATCGTCAACCTCGCTGATGTTTCATGATGTTTTGCTTAGGGCTTTGTGTGCGTACAAGACGGCCCAAGAGGCCCCCGAGATCGTTCCGATATGGCCCCAAGAGCCTCCAAGATGGGCCCAAGAGGCCCTCAATATTGCGCCTCAGAAGGGGGAGCGCGGACT